CTTTTTCTCCCCCCCCCCCCCCCCTCCTGTTTAGACTTGCAGATCATTTTATTAGTGTTATGTTAAACATAGAATCAAATTGAAATGGCCTAACCGATAATTAACCAATCACATGATTCTGCTCTGTCGCTAAGCTCTGTCCGCAAATTTTGGAGTCGGATTATCATGTGACTGCGCCCTCGATTTGTAGTTACGCTGGATTTGCCGGATTTGATTCCAGCGCTAGCAACTAAAATAGGCAATTTGCAGCTCTTGATCTCTAGTTCTCCGCAGACTTTCCAAGTCTTCTTTCGAGTAATCTTTGTTGTATTTAGTTGTAGAGATTGTACAATGTTACCTAGTTCCACAAGCTTGTATTACAAATTAAATGCATGTGTATAAATTTAGTTTTCAAGGAAGGAAACGATGAAAATATTTGGATTGTGTAAAACCGGTAGCAATTAATCAAACAATAAGACAACAGGTGCGTACGTGCGAAGAATTTTGTGATTCAATTCCGGGGAGTCATCATTTTTAATAATTCTGTTACTTCCGTTATTTATCAGGGTATTAGTAAAACAAATAACATGATTTCTGCATCTGTATCACCATTTGAATGCTGGCGATCTTATCATGCCAAAATGCATATCATATCTGCACGTCTATCAAAACGAATGAACTTATCTATTTTAAAAATATTTTTCACATATTATTTTTATTCCAACATATATTCATAATAGAAACGTCACGCATGGAAAAACTAATATATGTTTTTTGTGCAATATATGCAATCTTTTTTTTATCGTTAGCAATAATACCAGCAATACAAGAAACATTTGTTGAAGAACCTGTTAAGATTGATCTGATTGATGAGGCAGAGTTAATAAGACAGCTTAAGATCAAACCTACCAATATCGCCGAATGGAAAAAAAGACATTACATAACAGGCTATCTTAATAAGAACCAGAAAGTGAAGATATATGTATCTAGAGGTGATTGGTATATATACCAAGACTACTTAGAACTCAAATATAAGCATGACGAAACCTTAATAAATTGCGATGTACCATGTATTTGGAAAGCAAAGGAAATACAAAATTTAACGTCCGAAGAGCTTAAAAGTGCTGATGGTCTTTTTTGTGTTAATCAACCAGGCTTACCAAAAGAGAAAGCATGGAAAGGCCAAAAGTTCATACAATATACTTTAGAACCTAAGACTCATTGCCCACAATGTCATGATAAAACCCACCTGTTTGATATCCGCGCAACTTATGATGAAAATTCTGATATACCTACAAGTTATGTTAGAATGGACACCGAAAAATGGAGAACAGTAGTTCCTTTTAATATAACAAAGCTCACCCCGAATTCAACATTTATTTCGTTTATCGCTTCTCATTGGACTAAATTCAGAGGTGAATTTATTCCAAAACTTGAGAAACATATTCCTGTCGCATCCTTCGGTGGTGTCCTTCGTAACACCGATTGGTATCCTGAATGCAATGGCTTAAGCCACTTTAAATCAAAGAATTGTATCATTTCTAAATTTCCTTTTTATATTGCAATTGAAAATTGTCAAGAAAAAGATTATTCTACTGAAAAGTTATGGGATGCGTTTAGTTTGGGTGTCGTGCCCGTTATATGGGGTGCGCCTAATACTCGTTTATACTTACCGCATCCTAAATCTGCTATTTTTATTGAAGACTTCAAAGATGCAAAAGCTCTTGCTGATTATTTGAAATATCTAGTTACAAATGAGACTGCATATTTAGAATATCATAAGTGGCGGACTATGAAGTTGTCTGATGAATTTGAAAAGAAATCATATATGAGCATGTGTAATCTTGAATGTAACGTTTGCAGAGAAGTTGCTAGGTTGAGAATTATTGAGAGATTTAATAATACCGATACATGACCTAGAGATTATTTCCTTGTAAACTGTAATAAAAGTAGACAAGGAAATATCGTTACAAAAGTGCAAATATTTTTTATCGAATAATAATAACTATCAATAAATTTAATTCATGATTAGAATTTTACCAATACAATAGAGGAGATTTATAAGTTAAAAGTGGCTTAATAATTGTAATTCTTTCATTATTGATTGACTTCGCGTCCTCAAATTTACAGCATAGATAAGAAAACTATAGATTAAACTGGAACTAATACGAACATTTATAGAAGTATAAAGCCTTTATTAAAAGATGTATTTTTATATTGAATTATATTTTTAACGAACGTTGTATTAGATGCTAAAATTTGTAAGGGATAATTTAAGACACTGAAGCAGTTTCATATACCGCACCGCGTAGCCTTTAGTACCCTGGTCTTATCAGAAAAAAGGGTATTATACATAGCAATATATCCATGGGTACTTAACCAAGAGTGGATACACAAGCTAGGGGACATTGTAACGAGGTGGTATTATGCTTCGATAATTTTCAATTAAATCTATTAGATCTTAATACCAGATCTTATACAATTTTTTCGAGATTTTATCTTGCAATATATCCAGGTAGTATTTAAAGGGGGTATTAAATGGGGGTGCTAATTAGGGAGGTTATCCTGCTCCAACCGGTCAGCTTGTGCTCAAAAACTCGTTGGAACACTGTTTCTGAGCATTTATGTTCCGAACTCAGTTTATACATATGTACTAATAAGCATGCTTGCGTGAGCAATTCGATAAAACCTGCTTATCGCTATTACTATTTATTAAAGCAAATACATAAATTACATTTAAAATATATAAAATTTTGCATGTTTATTGTTACTATTTAATAAAGCAAATATATACAATACATTTAAAATATATAAAATTTTGCATGTTTATTGAACTATTTATTAAAGCAAATACATAAATTATATTTAAAATATAT